GAATAGTTATGAAATAAGAGAACATAACAAGCTGAATACCCTCTGAATTTCTATGGCCCATACATTGTTATAGCAAGCCCCATAATTCTCGTCGTCTGCAGTTTCAATTGGATATCGTCATGACAAAAATAGGAAAAAAAAATTAAACACGTGGGTTATGGATTTTTTGACTCGCGAGATTGTAGACCTCGCCTGCAGCGCGCGGTACAACCCACCGGGGAGGCAAAAAATCTATTACGCACTTGTTGCGTAATATACTATTCTCATCATCATGTGCACATTTTTTCATTATTTTACGAAGAGCCTTTGGGGTTGTAGATAATGGAAAGTTTCGAAAATTCTTTTTATTAATTCGATTTATTAACCTAAAGGACGCATTGGATTATGGACAGGAATTAGTAAATAATAAAATTAAATAAAAAATTATGATTTTATTTAAATTTCAATTATTATGATTAAAATTGAAATTAAATAAAAAAATATTATTTTATTTAAATTTCAATTATTATTACTATTAAAATTAAAATTAAATAAAAAATCATTATTTCATTTAAATTTCAATTATTATTATTAAAATTGAAATTAAATAAAAAATTATGTTTTTTGTGCACCCATAACAAGTGCTCTCAATAGGTCGCCCTTCGTCCAAATTTTGAGACAATCTTGAAATAGAAATATTTCAGATTAATTTTTTACCCTGAGGATTATAATTAAATTTCTCAGGGAAATATACATGCATACGTTATTTTTCTTTAGGATAAGGCCCAACTGCTCGAGGTCTCAGAAATATACACGAGATACCATTAATTTCTGAATCTTCATCATACATTAAATTCTGAGGTATTAATTGGGTAGGGATGGAAGCTGGCAGAGGAAGGGTGGAAAAGGGACTGTTAGGTAGAAGGGAATTGACAAAATCTATTTGAGCTTTCGGAGAAACGCGGGAGACGGACAATAGCCGAGACCTCTTGGGTCTGTAGACACGAACAGGTGGAGAGTCCCGCTCAATGACTTCTCTCTTTCTACTGAGAATTTCTGAAATAGTCCATCCCCCTACTTTCAGATAAGAACCCTCTAACTTATCCCTTTTTTTGTGTTGACGACTCGAGAATCTTTTCGTTGTACCAAAAGCGAATGCGTGTACCGAAAGTGGTTAGCCTTACCCTTTTCCTAGATAAGAGTTGAAAGACTTCAATTCATAAATGTAAAAAAGCATTATGTCGAGAAATGTTGAGAGGCGAATATACTTTATTATTAATTAAGACGAAATCCCCGGGAGTTACTTATTTCACCCCTTTCCTCCCTTTTCAGGCTCCTCCCTTTTTCCTCCCCTTTTCCTCCTTCAAATATTATATTCATCAATATTTTATATATTTTAAGAATATGAATTATCATGAGAGTAAGTTATTGAATTAAAAGACTTATTCGTATCGTGGACAGCGAAGGAAAAATACAATTCCTCAGTAAATCTTATCGAGTGAATTATTATTATTATTACATACTCTTGTGCTCAAGATTTTTCAGAAGAATTTCTGAACTTGATTCACACCTTTCCCTGAGGTACATTTCTAATCCCACTATTTACATCTTTGTAATGATAATTATAATTGATTTGTTACAGAAGAATTCTCGACAATGCGTTGAATCAAAATAAATACTACATTGAGGGGAGAATGAATCTGACATCGCATTTGCTGCTACTCACAGGTAATTGAAAATCAAAATACCGTTATATTTTGCGTTGAATCCTGATGATAAACATCGTATCGGAGGTATCAAAAAATGCTGAGCAGTTTATTGAACTTTAAGTGGAATCGTGATGAATTTAAGATAGACAGGCATTTTCTCCGTATTTTCTTAACGTTTTTTGTTAGACAGTTACCAAGTTATCTCAGAGAATCAACTTCGAACATCATTTCGGACCTCAGCAATGGCGTTATATTAAGTTGCAGTGAGTTGTTCCAATCTTTGAGTTTATAACGGATGGTTGTTCTGAAACTTTTGATGGAAAAATTGTGGCGGCGGGCTTCGTTAAATTTACTTTGTCGATGTTTCAGATTTTACATCATCACTTTCAAGTGAAACAAAGATACGACTGTATAAAATATATAATTATAGTACCGCCGAAGAGACGACTTCACATGACGAATTAATTAAATATTATTCATTATTTTTTTTTTTTTAGAATTTAGAATTAGAATTTTATTTCCTTTGATGTTACAAATGGTTTTTCTTTGTTTCACATCTCCACTTGCCTTACCCTAAATACCTCCACTCTTTTCTCATATACTTTCTTATAGTATTTAACAAATCTTAAAAATTGGTGATTATTCATTATATAATATTGTACAATATCGGATAATAATCGTTATAATATTGTATATCAGATAACTATTGTTTCTATTTAGCACCTCTTATTATTAGTGCACACTGTGCACTAATTAATTACTCGTCGATGGAGCCCCTCTTCATTAAGGATTTATTGCTCTCGGTATACAGGATAAAATTGATAGATCGTTTCCGAAAAATGGCGAAGATTATTCTGTGCTATTCGGTTCAAACATTTATCTTCGCGTTTTTGCGGTATACTGGGATACAATGGATCAATTTTCACTTTCATGAAGAAGTCTTTGATTTTTTTATTGAGCTCAACCAACTTCTCTCATCCATGTTTAATAGAATAATTTAATGATTGAATGAGTAACAGATTATATTTTATATTGAATTTATATTGGATTATGGAGATCGAAATAAATGAACACTTGGAGAATTTTTAAGACTGAGAATTATTATTAAAAATTATAAGACTCTAGGCAATCAAGAGGTACTTTACTGAACGAAGACTTACAACGAACTAATTAAACATTACTAGTGAGGCCTACGTTAAACTCCTCTCCAGAGGGTAATATAATTTCTCCTTCCACTCTTAACCCTTGGATTTTTCTTTTTTGACCTTCTCTGGTCACCAGATGTATTTTGGGAAAAATCCGCAATTCACTTTCCCTTTTTTTTGTTATAACATAAAAGAAAGGTTCCACAGCAACAAAGAAATAAATATTTCCTAAATCCCGAGATCCAAGTAATTAATTAAAATTAATCAGTGAATCCTTAAAATATCGAGTAATCAATCGATAAGAGAGTAAGCCATTTTAGAATATTACCTGACATTTCAGGAACTCTGCATGATTCAGAATCCCACAAAGTGAGAATAGGGAGATAGAAAAAAAATGATACCAATACTCTATATATTGGACAAAAATCGATACATGAACTCGCGCAGGACGGAGGCGAGTGCAACTAGAACGGGTGTACCAATGCGTCTCTATTGCTCCTACGTCAACGTCTCGGCCAGTATTTTGCTGGAAAAAGCATTGTCCATAGATATAAGAGTAATATCGGACACCTCCGATTTTCTGTCGCCATCGTGACGAAGTTCCAACGAAATTTTTCTAATTCAGAGATTTTTCCTCTTGCAGTCTATTTCATCTCATGATCGAAATAAATAATTCGTATTGAGTATTCACTTATGGGCGTATCAAATTTATTTTTGGGAATTCTGTTTTGGTGTCATTAATTTTGAGCAACGGAAATAGAAGGGATGACTAGCGAAAGGTCATTCGGTATGTGCCCTAGGAATTCAGATTAGTAATCTGATCGTAAGGGGAGTTATTCCAATTTTTTTTAACTCTTTTTGGAAATTTATCAGACTTCAGGAGAAAAATATCTTGAAAACGGTTGATAAATAGTTCATGAATAAATTAAAAATACGGAATACTAATAGAAACAAGTTTTATCTTTTTAATTATTTAAATAATGAATTATACTGAATGTTAGAAATAGCGCCGAGACTGAACCCATTAAAAATTTAAATGTATGGAAATTAATTTGGAAATTAGAAAAGTTAATGGCAATGCGAGATACCTGTCGGGTTATGGTTTGTTTATGATAAAGTTTCTATAACTTTGTTTTAAAGAGAAAGACCGGTTCTTCATTCAGTCGGTACATTTTTTGTAACAAGGTTCCCGAAAGAAAGAGAGGTATTAAATTCTAATTAAAAGTTTTCACGGACGGGGTGCACTAACAAAATAATAATCATAAACAAATGTTGAAAAAACCGAAATCTGAGTTGGTAGTTTTATTCTAATTATTGCCAAATTGGTTCTCTCTGAAATGTTCAAGGGAGGAGACGCATCTTACCGTTTCCCGGTTTTGAGTGGTTTGAAAGGATAAGGAAAAGAACGGCATTTTCCTATGGCCAATGATAGCCAGAAAATTCGAAATTTTCAAAAAAGTATCAGGGGAACATGAAAATCAAAGAGGTATTCACTGAAATTTAAAAATGAAAAAATTTGTGAAAATGTATCAAGGGAGCATGA